AGCTCAAATCGGTTTTTCGCATCGCGTTCCACAATTTGGAACAATTCCTGTCAAGGACGCGTCCCCAACAGCTTGGGTTCAGTTCCTCTGCAGTTAATTGCTCGGGTGCATAAATATCAGGATGTGACTGGTTTCTTTTGTAAATTTGAAGAAAGTAAACATTTAGAGCCATAGGCCGCCCAGAACTTGTCTCCTCGGTGGTCAAAGATCCATCAGTGCGGTTGCCAAAGCAATGAAGCTTTAGCACCTAGCAGGGGAGACAGATGAAATGCGAAACGAATCGTGAGCTACAAATGAAACTTTCTGCAATACAAGCGTAACGCGGAGAATGCCTGCCGAACGGGGATGAATCCCTGTCGAGAGACAAAGCACCCGAGGCTTTCCTGGGGTCGAGCCCAGTGAACTTTCAGGATCTCCAAAAGCATGTGAGAAAATTGAGATGGAATCCCCAAAATTGTTTTCTTTGTTAAGTTTGGTCATGTTGTTGAATCTGCAAATGTCCACAGGCACTCTAGACGAGGAACACCTGAATAGCGAAGCACTTTTGTGAGGTCAAAGCTGATGGACCTTGAAGCCCAGCAAGCAGCAACCCCCCCGTAAAGAATTGACACGAAGGATCCAAACGATCTGCTGCGAGCACGTGGAAAATCAATGCATTCATGTCAAAAGTAGTAAACGCACTGCGAATTGCATTTGCCAAGCCCAGCGACTGCAGACGCTGATCACTTAGACGACGATTGGGAACAAGACTGACTGCACGCGGCGCCAGACCAACAGATCTCGGAGCACCCGTGGAGCTATGGATGTCCCATCACCCAATGTTTGCACAAATCTGGAAAACCATTGACCGCACATTTTGATGGAATTTGTTCTGAAAAGCTTGCGCCAACAGCTTTGCAGTTTGGGCGTCGCTACGTGCCAACGAAGCTATGCCCGTACTCGCTGCCAAGAGATGGGCAACTGTGCCAACAACTCTGCATTTTACGCTTTGCTCCGTGCCCACAGAGCGGTGCATGTCCCATCCCCAAGTGATTGCATATCTCTGGGAAAAGACCCGCATTCTCTTCCAAGAAACGGACGATGACTGGCCACAACAGATCTCGGAGAAGTCGTGGCCGCACGTTTCCTGAAGCAATTAGACGATGGATGACCCGAGAGCGTGGAGGTGCAAGTTACTCAGGTGTAATAAAACCACACTGTAATGAGTATGTCAGAAGTATGGCATGGGGTGTAAGAAGAAGAAAAGATATTCAGACACACAAACTCTTTGACACACAGAGACCTCATCCTGTCCCTCACCCTCACTCTGACCCTCATCATCAGCATCATCCTCATCATCATCATCATCAACAGCAGCATCATCATCATCATTCTCATCCCCATCCCCATCCTCATTCTTGTTCCAATCCACATCATGTACTCACAGCCGCTATTACACATAGACACTCTCACACACATAAACCCAGTCACACACAGCCACTTCCACACAACGATGTTTTGACACGCAAGAAAATCGCAATTTCACCTCAGTTTTTGACGATCGAACTTCATTTCGTGCCAAAGGGTTGCGACCGACACCTCAAAATCACAATTTTACCTCAGTTTTTGACGGTCGAACCTCATTTCGTGCGAGAGGGTTGCCGCGGACACTTCAAACCTGCAATTTTACTTCAGTTTTTGACGATCGAACCTCATTTCGTGCAAAAAGGTGGCCGCGGACACTTCAAATCTGCAATTTTAGATGAGTTATTGACGATCGAACCTCATTTCGTGCGAAAGGGTTGCGCGGGACGCAAGAAAATCACAATTTTACCGCAGTTTTTGACGATTGGACTTCATTTCGTGCGAAAAGGTTGCGCGAGAAACAAGAAAATCACAATTTTGCCGCAGATGTAAAGATGATGAGAAGATGAGAAGGTGTGAAGTTGAGAAGATGTGAAGATGAGAAGGTGTGGGATGAGAAGGTGTGAAGATGAGAAGAGGTGAAGATGAGATGAGAAGATGTTATGAGAAGATGTGATGACAGACCTCCACTATTAGAAGAACCCTTCGCTCAGACGCTCTCGGGAAAAAACAAGGTTCATTGCAGGCATTGGCCTGTTGGTCTATTCAATTATTCGTCCACCACTTGCAAGATACCACACAAAACTGGGAAGCAAGAAGAGAACGGACCCATGGCCCAACGCGTCGAACGGCCTAAGCTCGAGGACCATCTGCGCTTGTGAAAAAAACGGAAAGACCCGTATGTTTTGCCTTCAATGAGACAAGTTGCAGATAGGCTGCAGGGTTGCGAATATGATCTTGCTTGTCCTTAGCAAAGGAAGCAAGTTGACGGTTCAGAAAAATGAGTTGCAGCAAAGCACAATCTAGAAATCAAATGACTAGCACGTGCAGTCCCAAAATCGCACTTATGCTTCAAGTCTTGTTTTGGCTGCTGCATTGAAACCTGCTTTTCAAAATGGAATCTGAAGCCAGCTTAAGCGGCTGCGTCATCAGAGCCAAGAATCTGCCACTTGTTGTAATAGCTGCATCGCACGTCCTGTGTCCAGTTGCTTCAGAGCTGCAAGGGCCTTAAGAGGGCGCAGCATGACGTCCCCCTGAAGGACATGAGACACGAAAGAATGCATCGATCGAACTCATGGGACATCAGAAGCAAAAAGAATGAATTTATGAAATGAGACAGCTGATAGAATTGGTGCAAGCTGAGAAAGACCAAATTCGACTCAGATGTCAAAAAGCAACACTAACACGACGTTGGAAAAACGTGTCAGGGTGTATCCAAATCATCAAAGATCAATCTCGAACGAAAACTTCTTGACATCTAAAGATAATACGATGTTTGGGGTTGAATTCAGTGCGCCCCAGAGCCAAATCAGCAAAGGCGCGTCTCGATCGATAGGTGCCTCCTTCCGAGAGACGAAAAGTTAGCAGAGATGAACATGTAAGGTTCATCTTTGGAGAATATCAGTACGAACTGGTAGAAAGGGACAAAAAGGTTTCCGTATGCATTTGCGACAACCATCAAACATTACAGAAGAAAAGCACATTTTCCCTTATGATTGTTCCATTCGGAAATATTTTTGTTCTTATTGGTTTGCTTCGACGACGACGACGACGACTACTACTATAGTAGTACTACTACTTTTACTATTAATACTACTACTACGACGACTACTACTACGACTACTACTTCTACGAATAGTACTACAACTCACGGTTCCACGGCTGAGCCGCCACGGCTGCGCTCCACGAATCCACGGCTCAGCCGTGGAACCGTGCGGCCACGGCTGGGCTCCACGGTTCCACGGCTGAGCCGCCACAGCTGCGCTCCACGAATCCACGGCTCAGCCGTGGAAACCGTGGAGCCTAGCGTGGCCGTACGGTTCCACGGCTGAGCCCAGCCGTGGTCGCACGGTTCCATGGCTGAGCCGTGGAACCGTGGAGCCCAGCCGCGGCCGCACGGTTCCACGGCTCACGGCTGGAGAGTGCCCGTCGCCGCCCTTCTCGTGTGTATATGTATATATATATATACATACTACCCCGCAAAAAGAATAGGTTGAAGAGTGCACTTATCAACATTTTAGGGGAGTTGTATGTTTCCACTTTTCTTGGCTCGGGGTGCTATACACACACATGTATGTGTATATATATATATACACATATACTCAGCGACTTGCAGGTGCGTGTGTGTGCGCCTGAGCAAACAACAAAGAGGAGGATACGATCCAATGATTATATATCTATAGTTATGTATGTATGTATGTATGTATGTATGTATGTATGTATGTATGTATGTATGTATGTATGTATGTATATATATATAATCTATATATATACATATATATATATACATATATATACATATATATATATACTGTATATGGGTCAAAACTCAAAAGCCTTTGCCGTGGAACTAAAGATTTTGCCAAATATGAAACCACATTTTGAGGTACCCAATTTCTCCCACATTCCGATCATCATCCAAAGCTGCAACCAAACCCAAGAGAAACAGAAAGCAAGTTGTCCAGGAAACCTCATGCCTTTTTAGAAAATTCACGAGGCTTTCAGCGTCCACTTCATACGTTTCTTTGGGAAGATTCGTTTCCACAAAACCATTCAGGGGAATTTTTCGAAGCCATCCAAGGGGAAATGCTGTGTTACCTCCCACATGGTACACGTCACATCGAAAGGCTATGGTTTATTGGTGATCTTGTCAAGCCCAGATCAGATAGTCATTTCAACCCATCCCAAGTATGGTTGAAAAACCATAAATGGGTTGTGAAACCACCAATGCCAAGCAGCTTTTTATGGGATTTATCACATCAAAGCATATGAAACAACCCGGTTTGTAAAGGGCTCCTTTTTTCACATGGGATATACCCCATGCCACAGTAATGACATGTAATACTGGTAATTAGGGTTGCCTCACGTTCTTAAGTGCATTCAATTCCTGCGATTTGTGCTATATATCTGACCTCACTGTAATGTCACTGGAATGGTGAGAATTGTAAGGAGAATCATCCCCATAGCTGGCCGAAGTGTTCAGCTATTTCAGTCAGTGAACATAGTGAACTATGATCACATATTCTGATTCAGACAGAATACATGTGACTTGCTCTTTTAACATGTCAAAACATGTGTATTTTAACAATGTCATCCATCCCACGACGGGAATCCTTACACATCATGGGTATAAATCCCGAACACAAAATGAATTGATCTCTCCCCCAACTGAGGAACTGATCCAAGTGACGACTGACGTGATGGCACATTGTGGCTTTTTCCCATCCCACGAAGATGAAACACCATTTTTTTTAAGTTAAATTGATAGTTAAGTCACTTAAGTCCCATTAAAATCCCATTAAAATCCCATTAAAATCCCATTAAAATCCCATTAAATCCCAATAAATCTCATGAAATCCCATTTTTCGAGGTGAAATATCCCTACTCCCAGCAGTTTTCACAGCGTAAATCTTCATACCCTGATCCCCTCTGCTGGC